CTATATGTCTGCCCACCCCGCAATTGTAGTTAATTAAGCGGCCGTTTCGATTTGCCATGATAATTTATACGCACTTGGGGAAACCTTTCGGTATTCTTTTAATTGACCAACTTTTGCTTTTACCCTTCTCTGCCTGCATAGGTGTTCTATCGCTCAATAGATAATTATCATCCGTGTCAGTTAAATAAACAGACCAGTTGCGGTGAGTGCGGTGCGGAATAGTGTGAATCCAACTGGATAAATGCACCGCTCGATCACATGACGTAATTTGCGCCCGGTTGAGTGGCCTCTAGTGCCGCCTTCGCTATTATGCATTCTGTATGAATATCTGACGAGTGAACGGTTCCAACCGGTTTCAGATGCAGATACACTTACAGATGCTATTGCATCTGAGAGATGGCAACGACAAATTGGGGCTGAGATTGTCAATCTCTAAACAGTAAGGGCTCCCTATAAATTATTTAAATCGGTGATAACCTATTATCGCCATAGGTGTAGGCTACTTTTGATCTGCCGGAGCTCTGCCGACACACACAGTATAGATCATGTTCTGTAAAACAAAGTTTCGTTATTATAATTTTAGAAATCCCAAAAAACTTGGATCGTACTAGAAATACTTGAGATCAAGAAAGTGTATCCCAGTACAATGTATTTGCTGAATCAGAACACAGTCTTCAATTCATCTCCAACTCCAGCGTAATTTAACCCAGCTCTATTTGCGTCTTGGGGTCCAAAGAGTTGCTGGCCCACATTCGGCTTCTGCGGTGGTGTCTGGCTCCTATGTATGCCATTTACTTCATGGCACCCTGAGCTATCGTGTATCAATGAGACGTTTATGTGATGCCATTATTCTGTCACGTTTCCATGCTCATTTCGGCAGTCGATTTTTTCTGTTTCTATGTCTTGGCCCGGGCCCTTTTTGCCTCGAGTGTTAAACACAAAGAGACGGAGTCAGTCCACAAAAAATATTTATAGGAGCCAGACCCCAAGACGTAGCTAGTTAGACAGGCTGTGCTTATGGCCAGGGACCATTACATCACCCCCATCATGTCATGATTGGGGTGACAGTCAACAAAGTTTGCGGCCAATTCCGGCAGTGAAAGCTCCTTCGCTCGAAGAAAAAGAGCTCACAGTATAGTGAAACTTCTTTAATTCGAACTACAAATAAAAACAAACCACTTTAAAGGCCATATAAATGAGTTGAAATAGAAGGTAAAACCACTTTCCTTAAAAGGGCGCTTATAATTCCCAACTGGTTCTAGCAAAAAAGCTTTAAATTATTTGCTTTTGTAAAAATATTGTTTTGAGCATTCCCATGTCACAAAATATTTGCATAAAATTAATTTTGAACTATATAAAAATCAATGGAAATTTTTTTTTTAAGAGTTTATTCAAAGTGTCTGCTGCCCCGCATTTCTTTGTATCTTATCAGTCGTTTATTGCTGTTATTGTCTCTGTCTTTGGCTGTGTAGTTGTTGACTGCATTCTGGCTCGTTTGCGGCTATTAACTTATCGTACGACTCGGTTATATCTCCACCGCTGTGGTTGTTGTTTTAGCAGTTTCAACACCTTTGGACACTTACACCGCCGTTACTTTCGACATCGTCAACAACAACAGCCCGCCCTCACACACACTGAGTGGTATATAGGCGGGTATACTCATATATAGCTAAATACTTACACAGTTGATAGCAGTTATGGAAAACCACGATATGGACGAGATGGAGGCGGGAAAGACAAGGGTCTTCCATTGTCTATTGTCGTGGATGTGCCTTTGTTTCTGGGCGTAGTTTAGTCATTGTTTGATATTAAGCAATATTCCCAACTACACCTACTCTCGATAAGCTCCATTTTCATTTCCATTTCTGTTCTGCTGTAATAATCAGCCCAGTTAGTCGGTCTATTTATCCATTTGCTCGATTTCATCATCATCAGCGAATAAGATAAACAGCTATTCTGGGATGGAAACACCAGAATAAACATAATTTATACATGTTCCCATATGGTTGTCATACGGACGGAATATTTGCATATCTTCATACATTTCTATTTATTTATTTGACTATGGAAATTTGGGAATTTAAAACCAAATACATTTGGTTATATTCCAATGTTGGGCACTACATTGTTTAAATCAAGCTGTATGTGATATTATATATGGTTCAGAATCCATTATAATCAATAAGAGCAGTCTTTATATAATTACTATAAAGTTGTTAATGTTGATAGGACTAAAAATGAGTAGAAATCCCAGTCACGTTTTTGAATTATGAGAAACCTCTTGAGAAATTGAATTGTCTACAATTTTGGAGTGACTAGAGGTTTTTTGAGTATGATATGCATATATACTCATGTATGGAAAAAACACCTAACTATTACTAATTAGTATCTCGTGCGATGTGGCAACAGCAAAAGCCTTTTAATTGATAGATCAATATCACGATGATTGGTTTTGTGCGTAGCATATGGTGAGGCCTATCGCAATATTTTGGGGTAAATGGAACACGAGAGTGAGGTCGGGAAAGCCCGTGAGCTTATCTGAAGTGATAAAGGGGGGTATGGGTAAGGTAAATGGACATGGACATGTGTGTTCAGGGCCACTTTAATGGGGGCTCATGTTCGTATGGCCCAGTTCGTAGTCCCTCTGCCTTTCCACCTCCCTAGGGTGTTTAGGGCCATATGTTTCAAATCGCTCGATTCGCTGGGCGCCAGAATAATAAATATAACATTAGGACAGGTTCTCGGCCGTTTATGGCATATTTATATGGAATTCCCTAGCCGCTGGTCTCTGGCTTCTCTCCTTTGGCTAATTGATTCTTGGCCAGCTCTGAATATTTCAAGCTATTTGCCTTATCTTCGGCAAGGTCAAAGCCGAAGTGCCACCCACCTCTACCTTTATCCACTTCGTGCCAATACGGAAATGATGAGTTCGAATTTCAATTTTATTTATCACCAATTTTTTATGCACCCATTTCGGCTCTACGTTTCCACTTCGAAATTTGCGGCCTTTAGTTTTAGCTTTTAGCTCGACTCGTAGCGACGCAGCCCGAAATGCGAAACAAAATCCAAACGTGCCAATATATTTGCGGCCTATTCTGCGACATGGAAGCAAGGTGTTTATGTGTTAAAAAGAAGGAAAAATACGGGGGCTCCTATAAAACCCACTTTTTATAGGGCTGGTGTGTGACGCTGCCAAGGAACTTCTTGTGAAATTGCAAGACCCCAAAAGAAGTCGTCTTATCGTGCCACATAACACGTCACTTTGATTGGCCCAGTGTGTAAATTGACTTCGGTCGAGCGTGTGTGGGTTAATGGTTTGTTTGCCAGTAGTTCTCATTGGATCGGAGGAGTAATAAAGTCGTCGCACGAATCGGTAATCGACTAAGAGCTTTTCCAAGTGAACGTGTTTCGGGATTCTCCGACAAGAAATATGTGTCGCGGGAACGTTAGTAAGCCGGGTGAGAGAGAGTGAAAATAAGAAAGGGGAAGTCTATAATATAAACTTAATGGTCATTTAAGTGTTTTTACTGGATTAAGGAATATGAAAATACGGGAATCATAGGTAAACTGTAGATGTGTGTTGTATGGAAATATTTTTAAAAATATTAAGAAAATGTTTAGAATTTTTGATAGACTTAGGAAAATATCTATGTATATATCTCTTGATACACCTACATGTTTACAAAATTCGGATAAATCATACGGAAATACTATAATTATTTTAAATTTGTTGTTGAACTTAAAATGATATTGTCTTCAAGTTATAGAAAATTAAAGGCTAAATTTTTTTCAAAATGTTGAATTTCCTTTAAAATTTTAATGAAACTGCCTTTTAGTTTGAGGGAATTTAAGGGTGAATTTCCCCAAATCGAGTGCTCTAGGTCCTTGATTACAGGGTTTGGCCCGCCTTGGGTTCCGCCAATCTTAGTATGCCATCGCCGAGTACATCCGGCAGGGCATTTAAATTGAGACTCGAGCACAATCCACTCAGAACGACCTTTCGTCGCCTCTGACCCGACACGCAAATTTTGTGCGACAAGAACGAAGGTAGCCACAGATCGATAGGTAATGGGGGGTCCTTGGCTTTATTTGGCACTTGATGGAATAACTATTACTTAGAGTGCCACCGCTAAAACCCCCGCCTTTAAACCACTCCACCTGGCCTTTAAATGCGGGCGGATTTTCATTATCTGAGAGAACAACTGAACTGGGGAGTTGTTGTCTGGGGGTTACCTGTGGACGCGCCACGCCTCGCCGCCCCCAGTAAATAATGAAAAACAAATGCGCACAATTGTCTGATATCCACTTGGTATATATATGACTATATAGTATACATATATATACATAGGAGTTTAGGCATTTTGAGTTTTATCAGCACGCTCCACTGATATCATGCGGGAACAGCGGGTGGTGGGTGGCATAATTATAATCACAAGTAAGTTCATTTGTTTAAATGCCTAAAGAGCCGCTTTTGCCACTGACTCTCCGGTCGACTGATAATTTTTATTTTACCTCGGTTATGGCCCAGAGCACGAGCACTCATGGGCTACGCAATTTTTTGGAGCTGTTTGTATAAGCAAAAACTATATGAAAAGACTTGTTGATTCATAGTTCTGATAAAAATTATGCTTTTCGTTCTTAAGTTTGAAGAGGGATTATAAATCTGGCAAAAGGCACGTGGTCTCAAAAGCTAAAAAAATAGTACATGTTGCTATAAATGCGTTTCTTGTTTTTAATATTTAATAAAATATTTAAACAAAAAATAAATTTTCTTCTATAACAACATGTACTTGTTTTTGAGTACCTCAGAACTTAATTAAATAATTTATTAAATTACAATATAATATTTCTTAATATAAATATTCAACAATTCTTTAACAAACCGTAAAAAATAAATGATTACAAGTAAATATTATAATGATGTGGCTTAAATTATATTCGCTGCATGCAGTGAGACGGTAGAAGGATTGGTGTAAATCCCACGTTCTCAAGAGATTGGCTTACAACAACCACTCCGCTTGACCACAAACGCACTGGCGAATTCTGCGCTCCAGTCCTCGGACCGTGTTGATGAGCTCCTGGCAGAGTGACTCTCGTTCAGGACATCCCTTGCATTTGACACCACCTGGACCGCAACCGCAGTTGCACGGTCTTTGTGGTGTGGTGGGGCGAGTAGTGGTAACGGGGCGAGTGGTTCGGGTTGTCCTAGCTGTGGTCCTTCGTGTAGTCTTTCGAGTTGTCTTTTGTGTTGTTCTTGGAGTGGTCCTGCGCGTGGTGGTTCCTTTCGTTGTGGTGGCTCTCTTTGTTGTGGTTGTTGTCTGTTTTGTCGTTGTTGTCTGTTTTGTAGTTGTTGTCGCACGAGTGGTTGTTGTAGCACGAATGGTTGTCGTTGTTGTTGCTGGAGCACGAGTGGTTGTCTTTGTGGTGGTTGTAGGAACCGTGGTCCTGCGCGTAGTCGTTGTAGGTGTTGTAGTCCTTTGGGTGGTTGTTGTCGTGGTTGTTGGAGCAGGAGTGGTAGTTGTTGTAGTGGTTGTTGGAGCAGGAGTGGTGGTTGTCGTTGTTGTTGTGGTTGTTGGAGCAGGAGTGGTGGTTGTCGTTGTAGGAGCAGGAGTGGCGGTTGTCGTTGTTGTGGTTGTTGGAGCAGGAGTGGTTGTTGTCGTTGTTGTTGTGGTTGTTGGAGCAGGAGTGGTGGTTGTCGTTGTTGTGGTTGTTGGAGCAAGAGTGGTGGTTGTTGTGGTTGTTGGAACAGGAGTGGTGGTTGTCGTTGTTGTTGTGGTTGTTGGAGCAGGAGTGGTGGTTGTCGTTGTTGTTGTTGTGGGAGCAGGGGTGGTTGTTGTCGTTGTTGAAGCAGGGGTGGTGGTTGTAGTGGTTTTTGGAGCATGAGTAGTGGTTGTCGCAGTTTTTCTGGTGGTTGTTGTCGTTGTCTTTCGAGTGGTTGTTGGAGCTGTAGTCGTTGTTTCTGGGGCACAAGTGGTTGTCTCCGGTTCTGGATCTGGGCAACCACATTCAGTCCCGGTGGTGCATCCCACTAAGCTAATAAGCAGGATGCTAGCTGCAAAGAAATTAAAGAAATACTTTGTGATGTTATCCTTTAAAGAAAAGTAGCTATGATCCTTTGAAATAAGTATCCTCTACCCACCAACAACTGTAGCTTTCATAATTTAAATGTATAAACTAAATACAACTAAATAAAACACTTTTGAGGTGAATCCGTCAACTGATACCTTGCTTTCTGGAATCCTGTCCTTTTATACGACCAGCCCACCAGTTTATGCTCATTGAGCAGTTTACACAGTGCATTTTAAAAATGGACTAAACGCCATTCGTTGGACGGGTAAATAACGATCTGTAAATAATTTTAAAAACGTGCCAGTCTTTCCTTACTAAACAAGGCCGTTTCAACTGGCGCGTGTAAAATATTTGCTCAAGTTTAAGGTTTTTGCCATCTTCAGAGGATTTTTTGGGTTTATTAAAATTTTATTAATTTAAAAATAACCAATTACCATGGCAACCCACACGTTACTTGTTTAATCTTTCAGTTTGCTTAAAAGTTGTTGTTCATTCTTTTTAAGCTTTCTGAAGGCTTATGATATCATTCCTTTTCTCATTTACGATATGACCATTATGTAATTCCTATAAAACATAAAAACATTATCATACTGTTAGTTCTCAAGGTCGCCAGTTTTCCTATTTTAATATATGTTAATCACTTAAGACCCCCAAACCCTTCCAATGAAAAAGTTGAGTTGCTTATAGTTTTCCACTTGGTTCTCTCCAAAAGTCTTCTCTCTTTTTGGTTTCCACTGAATACCACGAGTTCTGCTTTTCTGGTGCGGACCGAGAGTAATATTTTTCAAGCGATAACATTTGAAGCGAGTCACTTGGGCGCTACGGGAGCTTTCGGTTCGGTTGGGTTCGTTCTTGGGCTAATTGTTTTCATTGCGGATCGCAGGAGGCAAGATGACCAAAGCAACGTAAACAATACCAAAAAATGAAAGAAACTCTAAGCTCAAAGGTGCCAACAAGAATAGGAGTAACGTTTGTATCTGAATCGGATCCAAAGAGAAAACTAAAGGGTTCGCCATCAACGTCGACCTCAACAATATCAACAACAACCACCGCATCGCCCCCACCGCCCCAAACTTCTTATGTGATTAAATGTCTGTTGAGAACGGCGCGTTTTATGTGGCAAGTGACGACAATACCCTCTAAAATCGGTGATACCATAGGTACCCTGTACCGTTATGCTCAGGACTCTGTCGATAGTTTTCTATGCGTAGCTGGGTGAGACTCCTTATACAGATCTACTATACCATTTCTATATAAATAATCTATAATAACTATACCGAATCTGAATCGCAATTTAAATGAAATATCTTTTCTTGTGTATTTACAGCAAGGCCCGTCGCAAGGAACGCGATGGCGATCAAAATTCAACAGACACCAAATTGTATTTGGAGGAAAGTGTCCTAGAACGTAAATTACCTGAAGCTGATCTCAAAGCCTTAGTGGATCTTCCAGCTGGTTTGGACTACAATGAATGGCTAGCGTCACACAGTAAGTTTTAAAGTTTCAAGTTATAAAATAAGCTTAAAATATATTTAATCCCGAAGGTAGATACATTTTTAAGAACATGTAGAATAATCATATTGTCATCATTTTGTACAATCGTTATGATAGTGAAATAAAGTCATAAAACTATTAAGTGTATTATAACGATTGTAATCATTGTATAATATTTCCTATCCCGAAGATAGACAAATCTTTAAGATCATAGAGAGGAATCATATTATCATCATATTGTATGATTACAATCATTATGATAGTGGAATAGAGTTAGAACCTTATTTAAGGTGTATTATTACCCGCACCTTGTCATTTAAAATTCACGTGACTTACCGTATATTCCGATTTTCCTTTAAAATTGCCTCTATTTACTCCCATCTGTCATTTTTCCCTATTGTTGCCAGCTTTGTCGTGTGATTTACAAATGAGTTTAACGAGCGGCTGGCCCCTGAGTTGTCAGCTGCTGTTTGGCAAAGGTTTGATAGCCTAATCGCCACTGGCCACTCAGTGGCTCCGGTTGAGTGCCCCGATTTATAAAGCAGTCCCCGCGGTGCACTATGTATATAGTACATTATCGTCCAGCCAATGAACTTGAACGGAAGATTTCTGTCTGGGCGATAGCATTATCTGACTGCAGTTTATGAAGTGCGAGGGTACCCAAAAATGTGTGGGATGTATTTCTGAAAGCTTTGTATCTTCAAGAGCCATAAAAAAACAATTTAAAAAAGCAGGTGTGACCAATGGACATAGATTTTCAATCTATTCAAATTCATTGAAAACTAAAAGGCTTTAAAGACTATTTTATGTATAATACTACTTATATATACAGTTTATATGACAAACCCTTTTTGGTGACATTTTGAAGGCTGTTTACTAATAATAAGCATATTAAATAGCTGTCAAATTGAGACATACCACCCTATTTATTTTCTTGTTTAGTGAATAAAGCTTTAATGGACATTTAATATCCTCCTAAGCCAATTAACTGTGAGTCACATCTTAATTACTTTTTGGTTACATCATTGGAGGAGAACCGAATCGATTTTGAGAAATTACATCATCTTGTAAATAATCTGTTTGCTGGGTGGCAGAATGCAAATTACACAGCTCTTTGTTGACTCAAATGAGGCAAATAATTGGCAATGTATCAGCAAATTGTTGCCACCAAAGCACCCGGGGCATCGGCCCTCGTTCTCCTCGGCCCCCTACTCATCCCAATCCCCAACCGTCTTCATTATCTTCCCTTGGTTTTGGAAAAACAATCAAAGCCAAACTGTTTGTCGTGGGCGACGATGATCAGGGTCATTTCACGTCGCCCGATGGCGTCAGCTGTTCATATGCAAATTTAATATTTGAAATTGCTGACTTCAGAGACATCCCCTTTGACGCCTCTCCTCACGCCTCGGCTTATCTTGGGATTGGGATTGGAATTGGGATAGGGTTTATTTTGCTCCACTTTTGCTGGCATTTCATAATGCAGCTCTCCGAGTGACGTAATGGGGACACTTGTGCAAATATTGAGTCGGCATTGACCTTACCGGGTGGTTCCGCTCAATAAATATCATTCTGGTCTTATCGCTGAACAGCAGACACTGAAAGAAACCAACAGAACTGCCAGTCGTTCCTGGTCGATGATAAGATTGCTGCTGCTTCGAAAGTTATCTGTGCGCCAGCTAAGGTTTTGCGAGGAGTTTTCACACTGATAAAGAAATGGAATGGTACAAATAAATGTATTAAATACTAGAATTAAATATAAAAACACAATATTCAATAGAAAACATACTAAATAGTACCCTTTAATATGAAAAGATTTAAATCTTTCCTGATTTAATATAATTTCACCAAAAAACAAATATAATCAATTTTTAAAATTACTTATAATTGCTAAGTTTAATAATTTTATATTTAAAATAAATCAAAACTCAATAGATGATAAAACAGTGAATAATAATTCAATTGAATATGACAATTTTGGATTTACCACTTTTTCTTATCAGTGCAATTACTTAGCAGGTTGTTGATCTACACTTGTAGTTTATTTGTTTTGGTCAAGCTTGTAGATTAACAATACCTACTCAAAATAACTAAAATATAAGCTAATTTAAGGTGGCACTCATTCCTATAATAAATAGGTACTTAATTCCTCATGATGACTATTCTAAAATTCTAACAAAATGTTGTTCTTCCCCTTTTTCTAGCCCTCGCTCTATTTGAGCACGTGAACTTGGTTTATGGAACTATTAGTGAATTTTGTACACAATCCGGCTGCGCCGACATGACCGGACCCGGCAACAGGTGAGTCCTGAGAATCGCATTTCATTCGATTAACAACCCAACTAATTGTATCTTTCACCCGGCAGAACGTACTTATGGTTCGACGAGAAGGGCAAGAAGACGCGCGTCGCAGCTCCACAGTACATCGACTATGTGATGACGTTCACCCAGAAGACGGTCAGCGATGAGTCGATATTCCCAACCAAATACGCCAACGAGTTCCCCGGCTCGTTTGAGTCGATCGCGCGGAAGATACTACGCTTGCAATTTCATGTGATAGCGCATCTGTATGCGGCGCATTTCCGAGAAATCGCGCTGCTCGGCTTGCACACCCATCTAAATCTGACGTTCGCGCACCTCACCGCCCTCCACAGGCGCTTCAACCTGATCGACGAGAAGGAGACCGATGTGCTGCGCGACCTTGAGGTGGCCCTGCGCCTCACCGACGACACCACTGGTGGATGTCAGGATGCCACCTCCTCCTCGTCGTCGGTCCACGAGCACTCCTCCGGCGACCTGCAGCACCAGCAGCTACAGCAGCATCAGCAGCAGCAACACCACAACAGCAGCAGCAACAGCACCTCCTCGGCGGAGGCGTTGCACGTCAATTCACAAAGCAACAATGGCAGCACATCCGCCTCGGCATCGGTATCCCTCATCGATGGCGATGCGGTGGCGCCGCCAATCTGCACGCAACCGGAGGCGGGAGCGGGCTGCAAGCCGGCGGGCAGCAGCGGACTGCTAGGCGGCATACTGGGCGATCTGACCAGCGGCGAATTTGGTGATACAACGCGTTACTGCACATCGGCGGTTCCTCAGGCGACGGCGGCGGCGGCTGACACTGCTGCCTTGAACAACGGCGCGGGCGCGGGCGCACTACATTTAAACTTTAGCAACAATAATAACAATAATCATAATCTGAATCACTTGAACCATCACCACCATCATCACCATGGTCACCATGGCCACCATCATGCGGCGCAGCAGCAACAGCAGCAGCAGCACAGTGGGCTCATTCAGTGCAACGCAGCAGGCGGTGGTGGCAATGGTACTGGGGTAGCCACCGGCGGAGCCACTGCAGCAGCGTCCTCAACCACCACGGCATAGGTGGAGCAGTAGTAGCTACGAAAGGAGCAACAGCAGCAGCAGCAACAGCAACAACAAAAAACATTAGAAATACTAGATTTACGCAAAAATGTTATTTAATGTTACTTCTATGATCCTAAAGTTGAAAATATTGTAAAAATAATAAAAAAAAAGAGAAAACATTAAAATGCAAAGACAGCTAATTGCGAAACAAAAAGCAGACATTGCATAAATGACACACAAGCTACAAAATTATTGAACAGCTAATCGAAGTTGGCATCGTAGTTCCGTAACGTTGATTTAGATATGTACTTATTGTATAGAAAGACAGAGAAAGAGCTGCAAGCATAGAGTTTAGAGTTGTCGCGTGCTTATGCTTTACACGTATTTTAACCTTCCTCTTCTACAACAAATAAAATGTCCTGACTGAAGCCTGAGTGCAAATGCAAAGTCAACGCCTTCAAGGCAACCATAATAAAGAGTTTTGAACTACTCCAAAAATGGAAAAACGTCACTTTTAGAAAAGATTATACAGCAAAAGGAGTTTTTTGTTATTCCTAGGGCTTCAAATTTGATTCTCCTTTCTACTTATTTAAAGACTTACTTATTAGATTATACATTTTCGGATAAACCTAACTTATATAATTATAGATGTTTCAAAATATAGCTTTTTGTTAGAGATTAGAGCATTTCTACTGTTTTGGACTACAAACATATTTCGAAATATAATATTGGGTTCTACTATGATTTTTTAAGGTTTATAAGAACCTGATTTTGCTATTTGTTATATTTTTATTACCGAGTGGTGCAAATGTACTTGTCCAAACTTTTGGTTTTGACACTAACCTAAGCAGTCACATTTTAAAATAGAGCGTATACTGGTTCAATTGTTCAGGAACGTAGCCACACATATTCTACTAGGCGGTGAAACGCAGTTTTAAAATAGCCAACCGTATTTTACTCGCAGTGTACTTGGCACAGCCAGCCTGAAAGTATGCACCGAAAAGTAACACACACGTAATGCGATCAGGCGCCTACCGGTATGCACCGAATATTTCACAACTTACGTACCACACTTCACCCACACAAAAACACTCAAGATCGCACCGAATAATCTCCGAAAAGTATGCAGCGGAATCTAAAACCACACATTGTTAAAGTATGGCAATTTTAAACCCAGTTTGTAACGATTGGACGACACATTTAATTATAAATATAGGGAAACACAAGATTTATGCTTCGGATTTCTGCCCAAATAAACAGTGGGGACTTGTATGTTGTGCTGTATTGTGTTGTGTTTATAATCCATAGCGAAAACAAATGGCAATGAAGGAAACTTACTTTAGAAACAGAAGCGTTCGAAGTAGAATACTAGAAGCAAATTTTGTGTATTACAATGGTTCACCTCTCCCGATGTAGATAATTGCAACTTGATCCACTCCAGTTTCACTGAACTACTGTCCAGGCCTAAGCTACAACACACTATACTCTTAAAGAACACACACTTTCTATCTGTTGAACTTTGAATGCGATGCAATGAACTATAAGAAAACCAAAAACACGGCAAACGATACATGTATTTATATGTAGGTATGTGAGTTATTATTACAATACAGGGGGAAATGAAATGGAATGCAAAGACAAACCTTTTAAGTCGGCAAATAAGCAGATAAATGCAAACAGGGCAAAATCATGAGAGAAGATAATAAAATAAACTGTTATGTTCAATTGAGATGTGGTGTTTTATTTCTGGCTTACGATGGGTGTGCTAGTTTTTTAAAACCCAGGGATCCCTAGAAAAATATAATAACCTTTTTTAGGTTTCCGGAAACAAGGAGGTTTCTATTTAAAGTCGGCATAACTTAAGCTATCTGCTTAGTTTAATCAAACTAAGAATCAAGATATCACTTACCCTAGCCTAATATTTCACAAAATATTCAATCTGTTAGTACAGTTATTTCAATATTTCTAAAGGAACATATTTTACAAGCTAAATTTACTGTTCGAAATCGGAGGGGATAGCTGGATGATTGGTTAAGATGAGTATCTGGTAAGAGGATAAACTGGATTCCTCCAGGCTTGAGCTTTTTCATAATTAGATCGCAGGTCTTTTCGCACATCCCCGAATACCAGGTTGCGTGGCTCCCTCATTGATCTCGGTCGCACCAATCGCCACACGGACTGCAACTTCATCATCGAACAGGAGAATGGTACTACCAAGTCTTTCCCCTGTCACAGATTGATCCTTAGCTGCGCCTCTGATGTCTTCGACCGAATGCTTTACGGCGATTATAATGAGTCTGCCACTGGAGAAGTGCGACTGAACGATGTGGGTGCGGATATTTTCGAGAAGTTCAGGGACTACGTCTACGGCTATGAGTACGACAAGCTGCAGAAGTACGACTTTGATACTCTGATACGTCTCTGCGAGTTCGGCAACAAATACCTGGTGCACTCCCTTGAGGACGACTGTGTGAGGGAGCTACTGGTGCGCAAGGACTCCTTCGACATGGGGGAGTTACTGCGAATATTCGCTTGTGCCCATCGCATGAATAAGAAATCACTCATAGATCAGATGTCCTGGGAGCTGAAAAGCACCTTCAGGAGCACTTTAGACCACTCGGTCGTCTACGAATTCACCTGCGATGTCTTTAAGCACTATATTGAAGTGATTGCTGGAAAACTTTCCGAGGCTGATCGTTTTCGGCTGCTGGAAATGTATCTGAAATATAATGGTTTTGAAGCATCTGAGAACTTGAGTCAGGTGGAAAACGTGCAAAATTCCGAATCGGAACTACCTTCAACCAGTTGCCTGCCGCTGGAGAATGGATGCAGTTCATCAAACCCAATCAAGGAGGAGGCCAAGAGGCCAAACTATGTGAGAGATCTGCTTGGCCTTATTGATTTTGGCAATCTCACGCCCAAGGAGTTCTACGAGGGTCCCGGCAAGTCCAGTTTTCTCAGCCTGACCCAGAAGTACGAGCATATGTATCAAATCGCCCGGAACTGCGTTGTGGCCAAGGAGGAGCTCCAGCTGAAGGTGGGATCGCCCACGGAGCAGACTCCTCTCCTTTCCGAGTCACGGCGTATAGTCACCCTGGGAGGAACCTTGATACGCGAGGAGCCAACAACCACTTCGCTGTCCTCGCACTATTCTCCCCGATCCAGCCGACGATTCCGCACCTGGTCGGCACACTGCGACATCTGATCTCGGAATTATACAAACATTCTTGTTTCGCAACCAAAATATATTTAGTACAAAATTCGATATTTAATTTACTCTCCACATGTGCATCAGAAGTGGGTGCTTAAGATTTTTAAACTAATTTTTTAAGGTTCTATATTAAAAATCTAAAAAATCGAATTAACTGCTAGCTTCAGATAATTTTTAACGTTTATTTAAAACTAAAGCAGGCCGAGAATGCGTACATTTTTTCAAGTGCTTGAATAAAATTCACTCATAGGTAGATTTCTAAAAACCATCTGTTTCAGTTTTATTTTTTAAAAACAAAACAAAGCTAAGCAAACAAAAAGTAGCATATATTTATCATATTGTTAAGAAAAGGGAGAATTATATCTTGTATGTACTTTTACATTTTTAAAACCGTGTATTTGTGAATTGAGATAATATATATTTTCCAGTATTTGTATCTTGTTATTGTGAGTACTCATAAATAAACATTGTTTGCCTACAAATTAGAAATACTGATAAACAAATCGGCACAAAACAGAAATTTAATTTCTTATCATCTTTTTTGTACTCACAAAGTATATTAGCCACTTGGAAAAAATTAAATTTTTTCTTCGTATTATGAATAAAATGGTATGTACTTAACATGTGGCATATTGTTTAGCTCGGTGTGATTTTAAACAATAAACATACATTGAGTCGAATTTATGAGTGCTCCGGCCGAAAGAAATCAAAAATAAAATCGCACAGATCGAGGACAGGCATTTTGTCAGCGTTTAACATAAATTTAAGACTTTCAAAATTGTAACTAAGCATCTGATAAATAAGTGTAGAAGGTATGCATGAGTATAGTTCCGTGGGGAAGGTGGCGGATCATCTAGCACTTCTCCTCCTCGAGACCGTGCTTGAAGAACATGAGCACTGGAACGCTCTCGGTACCGATCTCGCGGTATTCCACCAGGGCCACCATGCCGTCGCAGTCCATCGACTCGCCGGTGAAGAACTGGAGCTCCTTGAAGCGGCCGAGGATGTCCTTCATGGCCTTGTTCATGTTGGTCTTGAAGACATCGACCTGGTCGGGGGACTTCTCCTCCAGCTTGGCCAGCACCTTCTTCATGTAGTCCTTCAGGTAGAGGGTGTAGGACTTCTTGTCGCCGAAGGCAAAGCACTCAACCAGGCGATGGTTCAACACCACATCGACGCCCGACTCCGAGTTGATTTCGGTGCCCTCGTCAGCTTCCTCGGCGGATGCGTTGGCCCCGGCCAATACGATATCATCGCCCTGGCGGGTGATGAGCTTGCCGTAGACCTCGTAGATCACGTCGTCGACCAGCTTCATCTTGTAGGTGTCGGCGAACATCTCGTCGCCGGTGATGATATCCTTGTAGATCTTCATGGTGATTGGGTTTTCGGGGGTCGGAAGATGGCGTCTGAATCGCTGGAGAATATGCAACTACAACTGCACCGGACCGCGCTACTTTGAACGGTAAAAAGAATGAGCGAATGCTAACATATTTTAAATACATACCATTTTATAGTATTTTCATAATAAAATAAATAAATAAAATAAAATAAATTTGTAATTAAATTTGTTAAATTTTGTTTTTAATAAAAAGTTGTAAAATAAATAAAATATTAATAAAAAATAAAGCAATTTTATAGGAAAAGGATCTGCCTCTTTTTAAGTGTAGCTTCTGGTTTATCCCTTTGTGGAAATGAGCCGATCTCGCTTCCCCAAAAGTAATTTTATTTCGCTGAAACCCAGACTTTCTGAGAGAACCGTTCTCCCCATACAGTTCTCAGTTGAGTTTGGATCACGAAGCGAGGCAGACGCTTCAGAGAAAGCGAAATTCAGATCGCCGGCTAATTGAGGAAATGGCAATCTCCGCTTGGACGCTTCTGGTGGCGCTGATCGCGTGGCGATCTGGAGCGGAGGTCGACGCTCAGGTGCCGGGCCCCCGGACCCGATACCAGCCCAACTGGGCCAGCCTGGACCAGAGACCCCTGCCCCGGTGGTACGACGAGGCCAAGGTGGGCATCTTCCTGCACTACGGCGTGTACTCAGTACCCAGTTTCGGCTCCGAATGGTTCTGGACTAACTGGAAAAGTAAGATCATAAAATGTCATATATATTCATATGCAGTTTAGAGTGTTTGATTGAAACTACAGTCGAACTGAAGAAATCTTTTAGTTTTTAATAACGTCAAATATATTATATTATTGTTTTTTTTCTTTTAGAAAATATGATATAACAGTCTAACACGTTTTCATGTAGATTCGAGTGCTGGTTTCTGAGAAATTCGACTCTATATTTTTTTTATAGCACATGTTCCAATTTAAAAGAATTGTTCCCTTTCAGATCTCCGTAATCCGGGCTACGTTCAATTCATGCAACGCAATTACAAGCCCGACTTCACTTATCAGGAATTCGCCAGCCAATTCACAGCGGAGCTATTCAATGCCACCGAGTGGGCGTTACTTTTCCGAGATAGCGGGGCCAGGTACATATAGTGTTATCTGTACATTTCTGGGATCATTTATTTCCATCACCATCTCCAGATATGTAGTGCTCACCAGCAAGCATCACGATGGCTTCACGCTGTGGCCCTCGAAGAACAGTTTCGGATGGAATGCCGTGGATGTGGGTCCCAAGCGGGACATAATCAGTAAGTGGGTCCTAAGATAGATAATATCATATATTAATGCTGACAGATTAAAAAAAATTTGCCTTCTTTGTCCTATATCTATTCAAAATATGGTTTATGAAATTTTACACTTAATTTTTGGCTTTCTATAATGCTTAAAATTATTTTTTAAAAATATATGCGTTTCTGGTTCACTGTTAAAAAATCTAATTGTACAAATACCTCTCTGTACATTGAATTAAAAATGTCATATTAAATGCTTGTATTAAATAGCAACGCTAATAAATTATATATATAGTATTCAAGAAAATTAAACTATAGCTTCATGTATACAAGATTTAATTTGAAAATATTTTATTTAAAATTTATAAAAGCCGCAATATATGAAAAACCTCGAAATCTATTTAAATCAAATATGGAATTCTAAGATTTAATACGTTTTCATAAATTTACATTATTTCAATTAAGTACTACTACTTAATATTATTCTTCTCCCCAGAGGAACTTGCTGCCGCCATTCGGAAGGAGTCGAGTCTGAAGTTCGGGCTCTACTACTCCCTGTTCGAGTGGTTCAACCCGCTGTGGACCGACGACAAGTTGCACCTGTTGATGCAGCAGCACTTTGTGGAGCGCAAGGTGCGTCCGGAGCAGATGGAGCTGGTGCAGGAGTATCTGCCGGAGATCATCTGGTCCGATGGCGACTGGGAGGCTCCGGCCAAGTACTGGCGTTCCGAGGAGTTCATTGCCTGGCTGTACAACGACAGTCCAGTGAGGGACACGGTGGTGACCAATGATCGCTGGGGCTTTGGCACCGCCTGCATGCACGGCGATTTCTACAACTGTGCCGACCGCTTCAATCCCGGCATTCTGCAGGCTCACAAGTGGGAAAATGCCTTCACCCTGGATCGCACCAGCTGGGGTCAGCGATTCGATGTCTCCCTGGCCGATTTCATGACCTCCAAGGATGTCATCAAAGGTGGGTGCAATTATTAAGAAAAAATATTTATATTCTATATCTTCAACCTTCCAGAGATCGTCACCACCGTCAGCTGCAATGGCAATGTGCTCATCAATGTGGGACCCACCAAGTATGGTACTATCCTGCCCATTTTCGAGGAGCGCCTGAGGGACATGGGTCGTTGGCTGAAGATCAACGGCGAGGGTATCTACGGCAGTGTGCCCTGGATTTACCAGAATGACACTATCACCCCGGGTGTTTGGTATACCCGACAACAGGAGGCCTCCAGTGGAAACATTACCGTTTATGCATTTGTTTTGGAATATCCTTACGACACCAATGAGTTGGATATTTATCCCCTTGGCAAGGAGATCAACATCTTCCGCAATGTCATGTTAACCGGGTTTGATTTGGGCACCGGTGGAGAGATCCTAAGTGAACAGACCACCCAGGTCGCTATGTTGGGCATGGATGGCACCAAAATAGAGGTACTATAGAAAGTCACTTAATAATAAGTAGTTATGATATATATATCAAATTTGTAATATATATATCCATCTCCAGTGGACTGCGGATCATAACAGATTGCACATTGTGTTTCCTCCCAAAAATCACATCGATAAGCGAGGACTGGACTACGCTTGGACCTTTAAAATAACTTTATCGTATTAACAGTCAGTACAAGAATTACCCTGCATTTTAAACTATTGTAGGTTTTATTAACCAGGCTAAGTTATTTTCATTAAAGGAGCGATTTCAGTATATTTCCCACTTAAAAGTGACCAACGATTATCAATAATTAAAATCTAAAAATCAAGTTATTTTCCTTACGGAGTTACGAAAAAATAAAGTAATATTCTTTGGTTAGTTCCGAAACTTAAACATTTTGTAAGACTATATTTAAAATCCTCTTTATACAAGGATTTGGAACTGTACCGCCTGAAGAATTAGCTCAGAATAGGAGAAACATATTGCTTTTAAATAAATTAATGAGATTACACAAGAAATGGTATGTTTGCCCTTTCTTAAATATGGGTCATGGGTTGTAGAACAAAGAAATCATTCAAGTCATAGATTAGGACAAATAAAAAACATCTAGCTCTGGATCTAGTAAGGATCACAAAGTGACTTTTAAAGATACGTGTGAGATGAAACAAAACAGGCCAAATCTTTGAAATAGTTTATTATTTTAGAATAAGATGACGGATATCCTAGGGTCTGGATACTTTCATATGGTGTTCTAGGGTGTGGTAGCCGCATCCGGTTTGGGAAATGCTGTCCGATGTTTGTGGGCTGCCAGTTGGGCCCGCGAGAGGACTCCTCCGTCGCAGGTGTCGCAGTGATAGTGCGTGTGCCGCTGGGCGTAGGAGCAACCCGGAGAATCACACGGCTCGTTTCCGCCCACCTTTCGGAATCCCGCACTCCGCACGTAGTCCTGGCGAAGGTGCAGTCGTCGGTGGGCCACCACCTTGTTG